TTTGTCTATTGCGAATTTATTACGTAGTTTGCATTGGACCCTGCTGGTGATTTGTGTTTCCAGTAACACAATCTTCCTTTTTGATTATGCTCGGTTACCTCATCCAAGAGAGCGCCTCGTGAAGTCCATACTGCAAAAGTAAATATAGCTTCCTAGTGTTGATTATCATTATCTAACTCATTTATTAGTCATACTAATCAAAGTTGAACTTACTTTTCTATATAGTGTTATGAAGAAGATAAATTGTTGAGCTCCTCGAGGTCCTACATGGAAATCACCGATGGTAATGCCACATGATATTGTGATTTTCGTAATAAAAATTGCGTAAGATGTTGCTAATTTGCTATGCATGTTTGATTCATGTACTTTGTTCCTTATGCTAGTGCGCACAACAAGATAACAGAGTTGATTGTAGCCTATACGTGATGAGATTCATGTTTGACATAGTGAGTCATTTTACAAACGCACTACATCTTGATGAGGTATGCCATTGACTATATCATGTAATTTCAAGCCTTAGCCACCTATAACTAAGTAATAATGACATTTTATGAGTAATTATGAGTTCATTTGACAAGAAATGTAGGAAATAGGCATCATAGTAGTCAAATAGGCCTATGAATAAAGTTTAAAAAATGAGGGTATAATGTTCTTTACATACTATCTAAAAATAGAAACAAGAACAACATTTTGGGTCACCAACATGGGAAAACATGAAGTATAACGTGGGACGGAAGGAGTAGTACAAAAAAGTAAAATGAAAAGGATGACAACTCGTCAAAAGAGGGGGATATTATCAAAAAGTACAACTTTTAAATAGAAATATTCCCTCCGTGTTTTAATAAGTGTTACACTTACCAAATGCGGTCGTGTTTTAATAAGTGCTACACTTCATTTTTTGGAAATGCCAGTTACATTTTAATATTATATCTCTCTTCTCTCATGGTCCCCACCAAAACCCACTACTACTTTCTTTATTTTCTCTCCTCTCACATTCATTACTTTTCAATAAATTATTAACCCCACTATCTTTCTTTTACAATTTTTTAATACTTCAACTGCCCACTTACCTCTTATTTTATTTAAGTCAATTAAATTGCCTAAAACTATGTGCTAGTCAAAATGTAATACTTATTAAAACACGGAGGGAGTAGACACCTTATTTTGGAGTCTCCAAAAAAAAAATACAGACTCTTAATTAAGGGACGGAGGAAGTAAGAACATACATTCCTTATCTAATAAAAACATATGAAAATGACAACTTTTTGGTAATTTAAATTTACCCTTTGTTTTAGACCAAAGGAAATTGGAGGGTTTCTCGATTTCTCACCAAATTGTTTATCAGGGGGTATTTTCGTCATTTCATTCTAAAATTGAAGCATACATATGTAATATCCTAGTTGAGTTAAGATATTGCAACTTGAGTTAAGGATTGTTAAGAACAGTAGCTACTCACATTGTCAGCCTTTATTCTTCCTTATAAGCTCCTTGCTCCTCCATTGAAGTCGACACCATTGAAGCCTTCTTCCTCTTTGCTCCTCCATTGAAGCCTTCTTCCTCCTTATCATTGACATCGTACCATTGAAGACTCCATTGAAGATGGTGGCATTGCACGGAAGATGACAATATAAACGAAAAAACCCTATAAAAAAAAGTAAAACCAAGGGCATGGTCAACCCCAAAGGATAAGGGTAACCATGTTCTTAATTGAAGATGAAATTGTGCTTGATTTTTCCCATTGAAGCTTGATATTTTCCATCAAAATTTCTAACTTTTCTCCATTTTCTGAATTTTCTTGTTCACTTGTATGGTTAATGTATTAACCGTTACTAAGAGCACTTACAATGGTGGGCTAAAGAATTGCTCATGGGAATTTTGGTGGGCAAGTATGTTGGAAGTGGTCTTAGAATGGTGGGCTAAAGAAAACTTGCCCATGGGCATGTATTAATTTGCCCAAGACTTGGCAAAAATTGGGATGAATAGTAAGCTGGTGGGCCCCACATAATTGCTGATGGAATTAAAGAAAATTCGGTGTGTTTGATATGCTGCAAACTCTGAAAAATTCGCCTACGCCACTCACTCCTCAAGAAGAGGCGTACAAGAATTTTTTTACTTGGTAAATTACAAGGCTTTTAAGCATGTTATTGTAGTAGATCTATGCTTGTATTACTCAAGTTTTTAATTATGCTATTGTAGTTGATCAATGATTGTATTAGTTAAGTTTTTAATTATGCGCAAAGTAGTCTTTTATTTTTAACTTTTATTAGTGGTGTGTTTAATTTCAATGTCAGATGTAAACTTGTATTCTGATTTTCCAATATTGAATGACAAGTTGTTTAACAAGTTGATTTCAATTGTCATTGTTATGACATAAATGCATTCAGTTTTTGTCATTGTGTAGTCACTTTTTTTTTAATTCACTTTGTCAGAATGCTTTAACTTTTGGTCATTGTTACTGACATAACTGCATTTAGTTTTTGTCATTGTGTAGTCACTTTTTTCTTAATTCACTTTGTCAGAATGCTTTAACTTTTGGTCATTGATACCGACATAATTGCATTCAGTTTTTGTCATTGTGTAGTCACTTTTTTCTGAATTCACTTTGTTAGAATGCTTTAACTTTTAGTCATTGATACCGACATAATTGCATTCAGTTTTTGTCATTGTGTAGTCACTTTTTTCTGAATTCGCTTTGTCAGAATACTTTAACTTTTGGTCATTAATACCGACATAATAGCACTCAAGATTTGTCATTGTCAACTAGCATAGTATACCTATTCCGTGGCTGAAAATTTGATTCCTTCAGTTGGTGTGGTCATTCAGATTTGTAACCACATATTCATTTGACATATTTTCTATATATAGTAAGCATGGCACATATCCACAACCACACCAATTCAGAAACTTACATAATTAATACAAGATGTATTCCAAACCATCATCAAGTTCAAGTTCAAGTTCATCTTCTTCAAATACTGAAGAATATGATCAACTCATTGATGAACTTTTTCACATACCAACCCCCAACTTTCCTCATGCCCAAAACACAATCCCAACCCACTATAGAAACACCCAAAGGGGGTACGAATAGAAGAGATAGGGAAATGGGACATGCTAGGTTGTTTAATGATTATTTTTTCGATAGTCATGTGTACAACACCACCCAATTTAGAAGAAGATTTCGAATGCAATGACCTTTGTTCTTACATATAATGAACAAGGTCGTTGAAGGTGATGTTTACTTCCAGCAGCGTAAGGATGAGCTGGAAGTTTAGGCTTATCACCTCTGCAAAAATGTACAGCCGCGATAAAAATGTTAGCCTACGGCTTGGCGGCAGACGTCGTGGATGAATACGTTCGAATCAGTCAGTCAACCGCTCGAGTTGCCCTTCAACATTTTTGTGCCGGGGTCATTGATAGTTCGGAACCGAGTACCTGTGAAACCCTACAACTGATGATTTAGCCTAAATATTGCATCAACATGAACTGCGTGGTTTTCGAGGAATTATAGGCAGCATTGATTGCATGCATTGGGAATGGAAGAACTATCCAACGGCTTGGAAAGCGCAGTACGCCGGTAGAAACAAGAAAGCAATGCTAATATGGAAGCCGTTGCGGATCAGGATTTATGGATCTGACATTCCTTCTTTGGTATTCCTAGATCTAGTAATGATCTTAATGTGTTGTACCGTTCACCAGTGTTCGATGAGGTTCTGCATGGTCGAGCTCCTCCGGTAAATTTTACAGTTAACGGCCATGAATACAACATGGCTTATTACTTAGCCGACGGCATTTATCCGAAGTGGGCAACTTTTATTCAGGGTATCACACACCTCAACTTCAGAACGATAAAATGTTCGCTGACCACCAGGCTGCTACTCGGAAGGACGTTGAAAGAGCTTTCGGTGTTTTGCAAGCTCGATTTGCAATAATACGAAAACCGTCACTGGCGTACAATGAGGACATACTGCAGGACATAATGAAAGCATGTATCATTATGCACAACATGATTGTTGAGAATGAGCGCCACAACTACACTCGAGCCGAAGTTCTAAGAAGCTTCTACAAAGAAGATCAACAAGAATTAACACCAGCATCAACGTCTACAACGCCACCGTTTGACGTAGGCCGACCTACCAACTTTGACTTTAACTCATTTCTACAACGAAAAGCTTCCCTTCGTGATAGAGAAACTCATCTATCTCTGAAAAGTGATTTAGTCGAACATATTTGGTTACAATACGGACCAACTAATTAGGGAAAAATTAGCACGACTTAAATAAGGCCAAGTACTATGGCCCACCTACTTTTCCGTACGCAGTCGGGTTTTTTTAATTGTTTTGTTTATTTTATTCCTCAAGTATAATTACGCATGACATTTCAAATGTAATCGGTTTCTAGTACTGTACCGCTTTTTAAAATAAATAAAAACATTTATGAAATTTTTAGCGTTTTGTTACAATTATTTCATCTAACGTACATAATTTAACTACAAATTTTACTGATAAAAACGACACAAATAAAAAAAAAGTTACATAAATTTAGACTAGTTTTTATTTAGTTGGAGTAATATTGATAAAATATAAATCAAATTAATAAATAAAGAAGTGTTGTGTAGGAGAGAGAAACTAATTGTGGGGTATTAAAAAAAGTAAGAGAGAGAGTGGTGGACAAGCATTTTTTTTTTGCTCACCATTGGGAGAGAAATTGTGAAAAAAAATTGTCCATGGACAAAACTGATTTGTTGAGAGAGAAAGTGGGTAGAGAGATGATGGGCAAGCATTATTTTTGCCCACCATTGGAAGTAGTCTAAGAAAACAAGCAAATTAGAGGGGAGAGAAATGGAGAAATGAAATTGTAACCAACACTCTTCTCCCTCCCCTCCTTCCCTCCCTCCCTTCTTTCGTTTCCCTTTCTTTATTCAAATTCATTGTTAAATATCTAATGTCATCAACTAGTCAAACTATCTAAACAAAACAAGCAATACATGGTGATAAAAATTGTGAAACACAACCCATAGGGCCAAATAATACCTAACGATAAATAACTGAAGATTTACATGACATTTTCGGAGCAATTATGACCATTACATTTTCTGGCCTCTAATTATTATTTCAACTTTTTGTAATTAAACTTTTTATAAGTTTCGAAGCATTAGATTTAAGGAATACCGTCGATTGGGTTTTTAAAAAATCCGCACTACATTGTAAAAACCCTAAAATTTACTTTACATCATTTCACTAACTTGATATTAGTACATATGAAACATATCCTATAGATTTTGATTTGACATTCCTTGTTGACATTCCCTTCACAATATCAAGGTATTTTTAGAGCTTAGCCATGGCCGAGGGAGGCAAATTTAACTTTGTAGGAAGCTTGAGATCCATCCATCCTTCATCATTCACTCTCGAAAAATAATGGTTCACCATTTCATAACTTACCTGATCCAATCGAGAAGGACTCCACTATACCAAAAAACAACATCCAAAGAAATCGAGTTCAATTCAAAGATATTAAGGCCTAGCGAAGACAGTAACAGGACACAGTCACACTATCCTGTTGGAAAACTTATATATAAAATTACCTTAGGATTTCTGTCTCTGTCAATTAAGATTGCCCTGCAACCCTGGAATAGAAGTAAGAACTTTAGAGCTACACAAGGCACGCAAATGACAAAAAAAGACAAATAATTTAGTCATTCAAAACCTCAAAGAAATCTCTGCTGACTTCTCCTCGCAGGACATGGCAAACCATCCTAAACTCACGGATAAGGCATTGACCAACACCTTGAAGTCTGCCTTCTCTGATCTGATATAAAATACACAATGTATTAGTATAGAAGCATCTTTGATATTAGTACAACTTCAGCAAGTTCAACATAGCCCCCCATTTCCATAGATTTGTTCTACTTTCCCCACCCTTTTTAATGGCCTCTTGTCTTATGGTCTTCAAGTTAAGAACACTTTAGGCCAAACTAGTTGAGCAATACCGGCGAAAACTAATCTACAAAAGTCCCAAAGACAAACAAAATACATAAACACATTGTTAGTACGTGAAACTTTGGGGAGCAAGTCAGCATATCTATGTCTATTGAAACTTCCAATCAAATCCTGAATCTATTTTGTCAAAATCTCATAATGTAATGGCTTAGATATGCATGGACAAAAATCATTCTTGAAGAACTTCACATAAAGGGCTCCCCATATTGTCATATAAGCTCACAATTCTCTTAAATCTAGCTGTTTTAACCTGAAGAAGATAATCATACCGACTTAAGAGAGATTTTTAAACTAGTTGGAGATGCTCTCTTTAGTGAGTCTATTGCTGCAGAAATCCAATCACCATTTATTTCAGCATTTTCATTCTCCTTTTCCTGCCAAAGACAATTCTCTTTTTAAAATAATGTTGAAAACTACATATCATGTATGGGAAAATCACAGTAGCCTGAAAAGTTTCAATATAAAATATCTCCAGAGTAGTACATTTACATACGACAAACCTATTTTTAAAACAACTTACAAGAGAAGAAAAAATTTCTTCAACAGTTCTGTGAGAAAAGCACTTGTCAATGATATGCAACCTACGACACAAACAGATGAAAGTAAGGTGGAAAATTCTAAAAACTACCAAGTATGATAAAATATTTCTCTTTTTTCCATGCTACCATAATATGCCACATATACTTCATGCCTTCAACAAATATATCAGTATACAGGTGATATTAAAGATTGTGAATCATGATTTCCACTAGTATTTATGGTAAAATCAGCATATAATATGTTTTTCCCCAACTCTAATCCTGAATTATCAATTGATATTACAAATTGAAGTATATAGATCAAGAACAACTAAACCTAATATTGAGAAAGCCAAGGCTTAAAACTTCACATTTTCTAATACAACATTTTTACTCATTACCAGGTGTGCAAAAGGAGAGGGGGGGGGGGAGGGGAGGGTTACGCTGGTTATATTGCTACTTTTTGGATCATACCTCTTGGTATTCAAGGAAAGTTCTGGTATAGCATTTTGATTATGCATCTTTGCAAGATTAAGTATTGGGTTGGCTCATTTCAGTTTTTCCCTTTAGGATTTGATAAATGATAAGGGCTCCATGATCTTAGCAACCAGAAGATTTGGGTTTGTAGAGGGAGCAAAGAGTAAAGAATAAAAGAAAAATAAAAAAATAATGACAACGTGAGCTAAGAAAATGCAAAAGCATACGCGCTACATAATAATGTAAAGCAAAGCCATCTTATTTTCCTTTTTAGACTTTCTCCTAATATTTTTGTAATATTTTCTCCCCTTTTTGTTCCCTAACCTCTTAAGAAAGGAAGCCCTTTAAGGTGGATTCCACACCTAGCTTATAGCAATAGTTGTAACAGAGGTTTGCTTTTGTAAGTACTTTTATGTTTTGGGCAACTTTAAAGGGTTGTAACATCAATTGAACATGCCAGTAGAAATTCCAAGGTTAATGCATTGGATCTCAATAACAACTCGCTTCTAGGGAGCATAATTTTGTGGCTCTACTTAGTCTACAACTACAATATGACTAAGATACCATATATCAACACTAGCTTTGAATATAAATGCTTCAGAAGCTCTAGCAACTTGAAATTGGCAGTCTCTGTTCAATACCAACCTGCTTGACAATATAGAGCTACACAAAATGTGGGTTACCAGTTTAACATTTGTCTATTCCACCGAAATTTTTGAAGTGAAACAAAGAAAGAGCAAAAATTAACAACAATCAATCAATCAAAGTCTTATCAATGGGGTCGGCTACATGAACCAAAAATGATTATTCCATATAGTCATCCACAAAAAACTTCCTCCAAAAGTGATAAAGACAGCCTGTGTAAAACTTTGTCACATCCCAAAACATGAGAAATTAACAATACTATGATGGTAAATTTTATGATGATAAATTTTATAGTCTAACTTTTTCAAATTTTAATGATATGAAAAGAAAGACAAAAATTAGATAGCACTTGAATGTGAACATGTTCAAAGAAAAGCATAAAAGCACATCGAACACCTAATAGTTGAAGATGTTTGCATCTTTAGCAACTTGCAACACATAGAACTACATACATTTAAAACAACTAAAAATAATCAATCATAAGCACAATTCTTACTTTCGAAAAGCGCTCTTCTCTTTCAAAACAGGTTGCTCAGCATATTTATCAAAAATTTTACAAATTTTCGATGGATCATCTAAGTTCGCCTCACAAAGTTCTTCCTCCAGCAGGGACAATTTCTGTAAATGAAAAATAAGAAATGCTACACACAAATCAATTAATTAATTAATTAAAGACACTCTTGAAAATGTAAGCACAAGTCTTGTCAGAAGTTGTTGTTATCTGGAGCTGTAGCATGATATGCTTCCAACCAGTGGCGGAGCCACGTAGGAACATCGGTCCGGTATAACAAATGCTTTACGTTAGCTTAAACAAATGCTGTAATAATAATAAATACATTACATGTATAGCTTGTATAACAAAGACAACATTCGGTCCGGTGGTTGATGGGCTTGAGTAAGGCTTATTTTTCTCTTTGATCCTAGGTTCGATTCTTTACCCAATCATTTTTTTTGTTTCTTTTTGCTATTTTTGGACTTTATTTTTATTTCATTTTATAGATACAAAGTGCTCCCATTTAACTTCTTTTTCTTGTTTTTGGATTTTGCCCCTTTTTTTTTACTTGTTTTTGGATTTCATTTTATAGTACATAATTTATATATACAAAGTATTATAAGTCTTCAAACCTCTAACTACCCTCATTTAACTATTTAATCAAGTACCGCCTTGTTGATAGTGATTAGGGGTGTACAAAAACTGGACCGGACCTGAAACCGGACCTGAACCGACCTGATCCGGACCGGACCTGACCCGGACCTGTTGATTCAGGTCCGGTCCCGGTCCTTAAAAATCAAGGTTCCCGGTTCCCGGTTCCGATCCGGACCCGGTCTAAACCCGGGGTTTTCAGGTCCGGACCTGAAACCCGGAAAAATTGTATTTTTTAAAAAAAAAAAAAAAAAAATTCAAAAATCAAAATAACGCTGCTGCTTGAGTGAAGCTTCAGTTCTCTTTCATTTCATTCTAACCCTAACAAACAGGCTGTCTCCCCCTCTCCCTCACGCTCACTGTCTCCAGTCTCAGCCCAACGCGGCAACGCCCACCACCGACACCTCCTGCCTTCCTCACTCTCTCAGGCGAAGCCCAGGCGCCCACCGACCACCGCATGAGACAGCTACTGCGCGATTTTCCATTTCTCCGGTAAGTTATTTTTTTTTTTTTAATGTAAATCTAAATTATCTAATTATGTTTGGGTATTTTGTATTCGAAATAATGAATTAAGTGTTAGAATTTATATGTTTATTCATGTTTCAATTGCTTATAATGATTATTTGATGTTTGCATGTTGAATTTCTTTTTTTTACTTCAATGTTTTCGAATTTATGTTTTTCTTTTTTGGTTTATTTTCGAATTTCTTTCGAATTTATGTTTTTTTTTTTTGGTTTTTTTTAGTTTAAAGTTTAGGGTTTTAGGGTTTAATGTTTAGAATTGATAACAAGTATGGTTTATCTTCGAATTTATGTTTTTTTTTTTGGTTTTTTTTAGTTTAAAGTTTAGGGTTTTAGGGTTTAATAAAATCAGAAGAGCAGAGAAAGTAGTGATTAGATTGTAAACATCTAGTAGTCTAGTGTTTATCTAGTACTTTGCATTGACCTTTGGCATGGCTTCAAATTGAATAGTTGATTTTATGCATTCGGATGCATAAATTCTATGTTATTAGTCATTATATAAGCGTTGTTGCATAAACTTATCATTGCAGAAAAATGCACTGGTTGAGAAATAGCAGATCTATAAATATTGGTCTGAATTCCTTACAATTTAGCACCAATTCTTCAGGAGTTTGAGTAAATTCTGACATATAATATGGGAACATGAATAATGTCTGAATTTCTATGTTATTTCTATGTTCGGTGTCACCTAAATTTATCATTGCAGTTATGGGGAAGAAATGCGAAGGCTGTAAAATTGCGGAGAATTATAATTATTGGTCTGAACTTCCTGCAACAAAACACCAATTCTTCAAGGTCATGTATGGCGATTTTGAGCACCAAATGGTAGGAAAATATGTTATGAAAGCAACTGCACTTATATTATTAATATATATTAGCTCACTTGATTGAATTTTTTGGTGAACATTTCTTGCAGAATATTCCTCAGAAGTTCATGGAGTGTTTCAAGGAGAAACTCTCCCCGTGGTGTACACTTATAGCGCCAAGTAAACACAAATGGAAAATCAGACTCTCGAGTACATATGATGAAAGGCCATTGGTGTTTACAGATGGATGGAAACAGTTTGTTCGTGACAATGGAGTGGAAACAAATGACTTCTTAGTGTTCCGTTTTGTTGGAGACTCCTCGTTTGAGGTGTCAGTGTTTGACAAGAGTGGTTGCGAGAAAGAGGGTTGTCACTTTTCCATTAATTCCAATTCAATCTCAAGAAGATTCTCTTGTACAAGTAATCTCCACATCAACCATGGTAGTGTGGCTAAAGAAGAAATTGAGATTTGTGACTCATCATCAGAGGATTATTCTTTGTGGAAGGAAGACGAAGAAGAGACTGAGGATGTAAGTCATGTAATAACGGAAGAAAAGAGGGAGAGAAGAGGAAGCTCAAGTGAAGGTAATACAAACTAGTCATTCCTCATTAGAGTTTGTCTATAATTTGAATTCATATATGTATTACTGTATTATAATTTGATGGCCATGATGCAGGAAAATTTCCTCAAAGCCAAAAGTACTTCATATCGAATAGGCGGGATCTTAAACCTGGAGAAAAGAAAAGGGCTTCCAAGATGGCAGAGTGTTATAGGCGCAGCATGAAGGATAATAAGAGAGTGTTTCCTGTGTTTCAGATAGCCAAAAGTACTTCATATCGAATTTATGTTTTTTTTTTGGTATTTTTGGTGTTTGAGAATTGGGACTTTATACTTTTATAGACTTTATGTAGTTTTGTACTTTTGTGATTAATAATTTTGGTTTGTATGTAATTATTTAATTATGCAACAGGTCTAAAAATCACAAAACAGGTCCATACGCAGGTGCATATGCAGGTCCAACAAGTTTTTTATTAAAAAAAATAAAAAAAAACGAAAAAATCACAAAATAGGTCCATTCAGGTCCAAACCTGGACCGGACCTGATTTTTCAGGTCTAGCCCGGAACCGGACCTGTTAATTCAGGTCCGGTCCCCGGTCCTCATAATTACCCAATTCAGGTCCCCGATCCAAACAGGTCCGGTCCAGGTCCGGTCCGGTTTTGGACCGGTGTACACCCCTAATAGTGATTACTAATGTGTTATTAAACTATTTGTAATGAACACATGTCTCCGTATTTTTTTTTATCTCTTTAATTATGTGCGCCTAAATTCTATTTTTTTTTTATTCCTTGTTTGGAACTAAGTTTCCAATTTTATTTTTAGTCAAAGTTAGTTTTTTATTTTATTTTAATGTAACCCAAATCCCTTTACATCTACTATCAATTTGTTTAAATGCTTATTATTTGATAAATCGTATTTATCGATTATTGAGGATTACATACCTTAAAATTGGGGTTTACCAGCAAAAAAATTATTTTTTTTGGTTGATAATTTTTTTAAATGCAATGAATCTTTTAACAACTCCTCTTTCGCCATATAAGAATAATTATCATATCTCATACGCGATTTCAAATATATATTAAACAATTTATGTGATCAATTTTTTTTTCTTAAAATTTTTGTCGATTATTCAACATCTAAAATTTGTCCCTCCGGATTACACATCCTGGCTCCGCCACTGCTTCCAACCCCAAATCACGGAAAGAAATTAAGCATCATTTATAATGAAATGTCAAATACAGCTATTTTACAGAGAAGCCAGCATACAATGCTGAAGATATAATCCTTTACTTCACCAGTTTGTCTACTGTCAGTTTCTCTGTTTAAAGGCAGATGACATGGACACAAAATATAGTTCTAAAGCACCTTTTAAATAACATTATTAATTGTTATATGTTGCCATAGATAAATGTGGATAAGTGTGAAACAATCTCATATTTAGGAAATAGGATATAGAAAGAAGATATGGTATCTGCTCAAGGGATTAATTATACTCATACAGTGAGAGTCGGGAAATTCTTTTTTCAGCAGTGAATTGGGAGAAAAGGTTGATGATCAGAAAGACAAACATTCTTCCAAGAGCCAAACTTGGAATCCTCTATTCTTCTAAAGCTTTTCATGCAGCATTGATTTGAAGGTCTTCCTTCTAATTGGTTTTTTTTGTGGTAGCTTTGTACCATACTGAACTTGCTAGCAAGATAAAAGCCCCACGGCTGCTTTTTCTTAACTCTTATTAATTATGAAATATAGACAATGAAGGTGATCTCCTGTTAGCAATCCTTTCCATCATTTTTTAAATTGACTTTCTGTTTTCAGAGTTTCACATCTTTGCGATAATCAAATTTATCACTTGTGCTCTCTTCCAAAATCTAAAACCAAAATTGTCTCATCCCTATACTCTCTATTTAGAATTAAGCCCTATTGGGTTAAACCCGGACTTCAGATTTAAGATTATATGACTTCCTACTGTATTCACAAGGTTAAGGTATACTAACGGTGGAGCAAGAGTTGAATGGTGACATGGCATGGTGGAGCAAGAGTCGAATGGTGACATGGCATAGTGGAGCAAGAGTTGAATGGTGACATGGCATGGTTAATACTAACGGTGCAGGTAGTAGATGTTGAGCTCTAAATCCAAACATATGATTCTTTTTTGGAGTCTTAAGATTTATCAATAAAGATATCTATCAGCCTTATTCTTAAGACAGTAAATGTGATTACTTTTAGAGTTATAATCCTGATTATGATATGGAGCAAACATTTCTTTACTAAGCAAGAAATCTTGCTCTCCAAATGCATGAACACAAGTTCTTTAAAATTAGATAAGGCAAGAGTGTACCGTGGAGTGAACAAAATGAGTTGCAAGACCACAAGCGAGCATCTCTCCACCATCCAACCTAGTTCCAGTGAGACCAACATATTCTCCTACAGGTAATATCATGAAGCAGATTATAAATGCTTAAATTTGCTAATGAGGGAAAAAACACTTCTATGTTCTTTATAGAGGAATGATGGGACAAATATAAAATCAGTCCACCCCCTTTCATCTTAATGAAATAAGTGTAAAGAAAATAAGAGTTCTACAGCATTAATTACATGTCACTACGGATATCCAGGGAATTTCTTTGTTTTGTTGTCTTCTAACCCCCTTCCCCTTTTCTTCTCTTTCTTATATATGTGTAGGAGTTCAGACTAAATCATATGAACACAGCTGACACTCTAATGAGTAATGAGGTTTTTTGAGTGTATGATGTCCATTACAAATTATAACCATTTTCCCTTGGTGAGTTTGAAAGTCATTCTTCCTCTCTACTTAGATTCACGATACATTCCAACCTAGCGTATTTCTATGCCTTATTATGGTGGTGGAGTTGACAGTGCAGTAAAGTTGACAAGGCCAGTTAAAAGAGACAGCTGGTGAAGGTGGTGTGTCATCCTATCCCCTAAGGGAGGAAAGTAGAGAGAGGTTAATATGGAAGAAGAGAAGAAAAGGGGCACTGGAGGAGAGGGTAGGGCATGGCCAAGAGGATTAAGGAGGGCCATGTGGTATCCTAGAAATGGGCAAGAGGAAGGAGCAGGAGTAAATACAGGAACCACTGATGAATTCTGTTGCTGGTGTTTTTGTAAGCAGGGCTTGTAAGCGGATGGGGTGAGTGAAGGGTGGAAGAGGGAGAGAGATGATTACATAAAGGATGCAGGGGTGCAGGACATTAACATGAACACTAGTTGGTGGTTAGTCAGTATGACAATGTGAGCCAGGGTGGGAGCCTGGGGGCACCCTCCATATAAATTTGCACAATGTCTATATACTAAAAATATTGGAGGTGGGACTGGATAAAAGGAAGATGAAATTCTCTTATCAGCTTCACACAAACGGTTTTCTGCATTTCTATGAGTCTCCCTTTAAAGTTCAGTGAATACTAGCAAAGCATAAAGCAATTAATCCTTTCTCTTCCCTATCTGAAGAATTATGAGTTGTGTAGACATGTGGAGATATGTTGCTTTGACATTTATGTATAGAAAAAAATTTAAGGAAACACTGCACTCCAATGATGTATCTTAAATATACTCAAATGCTATATAAATCAATAAATATATAGAAAAGCGGCAATATCAACACTGGCTAATGGCATAATATCAATGAAGATATAATGTTTGATTGCATATTTGAATATCCATCTTAGACTTCAACTGTTGTCATACACTTGCAGGACGCAGATAAATTTCCCTCAAACTAAGATCGACGTGTCATGAAGTCACCCCTACTTCTAGTTAGAGTTTTACCATGCAATGAAAGAAACATCCCTTCCTATTTATTTTCCATGTTAAATAGAAAGAAAATGAGACCCCAAATTACTTCAACCCAAAAAAAAAACACATTACCATCACTTTACGGGGTGGGATTATTCATATCAAATTTTGGCATGTGGTAATGTAATGGGGATCTCATCATGTAAATATTTTCTTCAAAAATATAGATAATAGATGATGTAAAGTGTTGTTCCAAATTCTAACTTTTTTCTATATAATCTACATCTTTTCCCATTTTTCACTAGTGCTCTTTTACGGCTTATCGAAGCGTTTGACAACTTGTGATAATGTTGTAATCAGGCATTTAGGTAAGAAAGAAATCACTCCTGTTTCATGTAACTTTTTTAAGTGTCCTCCCCCCCCCCCCCAACAACAACAACAACAACAACAACAACAAAAAAAAAAAAAAAAAAAAAAAAAAAAAAAAAAAAAACTAAATAATGTAAGTTCTTTAAGGAAGTCAATGAAGTACATAATGCACATTTATATTTATACTGTAAATGTAAGTTCTTTAAGGAAGTCAATGAAGTACATAATGCACATTTATATCTATATTTATAATGTAAGTTCTTTCATTGCTCTTTTATATGATATGAAGTACATAATGCACATTCATTACCTTAGTATAATTTTGGGAAATAAGAGTACTTTAGTCAGACAGCAATGATATTTCTATATATCCTTAGCTGGGTCTCAAAAACTTTATAAACTTACAAAATGAAATGGAGACTGCTTACCAAAGAATCCCGGTAACCTTGACAAGAAATAGGAGGCACCAACATCTGGAAAGAGTCCTAAAGCCGTTTCAGGCATTGCAAAAACCTGCAGAATCCTACTTAGACAACCATTCAACTTTTAAAAACTATAATTATAAGGCAATTAGCAAATATAAATCTTTAGGGCCGATATGCTGCACCTCTATTTCTTAGCTGACGGTTCCTTATGACGATTCATGTTAGCTGGACCCCAAATCATTTTGAAACTAAGGCTTTGTTTGTTTTATATGCTGCATCTTTAATCTATAAAGGAAAGGGCAGTGGGGAAGGGAGAGGGAAAGGAGAAAATGGAAAAGAAAACTACATATTCTAATAAATACATCAGTTCACAATTCTAAAAAACAAAAGGACAATAAAAACAAGATGCCTAAAATGGGGTCAAAATGCATGGTCACAAGAAGACAATGAGAACTATCTGTTAAAATTTGTTTAAAATACATGTAACCCTTTCAATGTCTGCCACTTAGGCATAAGTGATTATAGAAGTTTCTACAATATTGGCCAAATTCTCCCAGCCTTACAAATGAATGCATGGTTAACAGTTTCCACGGCATTACTAAATTGGAGATGCAAAGAGTAAAAAAAAAAAGTAAATGAATTAAAAACCAAGTAAGATGGTACCGTATTCTCAGTTACAATGCGAAATCTACCATGAAGTGATGCACCAGCTCCACCTCCCATAACAATCCCATGAAGAATCGAAACCTTCAATGGTGTTTGCACACAAAGTCACCGTCAAGATATGACATAGTTTAATCAACTGAATTGAAGGGCAACTCAAAGGAGGTAAGATACTTTTCAAAAATATTTAAGGGAAAGGAGAATTGGAGTGGATGAAATTAATGACCTGGGGTTTTTTGTATGTTGCCATGACATAATTTAAGGTGAATTCTTTCTGAAAGAAGCTTGCACCTAATCTCCAATCACCTGCTGTCAGCATTAGCAAAAGCTACTCAACTCTCGGTAATTCAATATATACAGAATTTTTTTTTTTAAAATAATTACATAAATAAGTGATTCAGGGTCTAGCAAGGAGATGTGAAATTGAACCATGGTTGAAGAAATGAAGAGATTAAATGATAGTATGAGAGGAAAGTCAATAAGATCGTTTTCACTATTTCTGCCTTTAAACGTAATACACACTTACACAGAGCTTAGATAGGCAGATATAGGTACCAAAGATCAATAATATGTGGACATCTAGAAATTTCTCAGGCAACCACTTTTTTTGGACATAGGTGTTTAGACAAAAAGTGCAATCTAAGACATTTAATATCAAGTCTGCAAAGTAGATTAAACAACCTTTAGAAATGTCACGGACCACAGCAGAAACATCACCTCCAGCACAAAATGCCCTTCCCTGTCCCTGATAAAAAAGTTAAACAAGGCACATGTATCACATATATTTGATAAATTGATATCAAGTACACAATATAGACCTTTGAAGGAAGAGGACCTTGTGATTAACTAACACACATGTCCCATAAAGTGCATGGCATAAAAAGCCCAACATTGGCAATTTGACCAGGTTCTTGGATAAAAAGGCACAAAAGGATATACATAAAATGGACCTTAGAAACACAATTGATAGCGGCTATTTTGTATTGACAAAACAATGATGATAAAATAAAATACAAGGAACAAGTACGAACAACAGCTTGAGGCTAAACACTTAAACACTGATCCTCCTTCTATGACTCAATCAAAAATCAAAACTATGCATGGAATTTATCACAAAGTATGATCTATAACTGGAGACAAAAATTGAATCTGCTAGCTTAGAGTACAAAATATTACATGGGTCAGCTGCATGTTCAATAACATTGTCGAGTTTTTTCCCATCCAACTAAAGATGTACTAAAATGTAAGTAATTGACTTTGGAACTTAATTTGGGTATATTTTGAATGCTTAAGGACTCAGTGAAGATTCTTGTCCCTTCATTCACCTTCACTAACAAGATTCATGGTTAGATTAGAAATTAACAGAAAGTGTGTTAAAAGAGAAAAGGGGGTTTAGAAAATGGCACCTTTGTTCAAAAGTCATATAAAAAGGCCTTTTGAGGTAAATTTATCATCTCCAACTTCTTAGACTTAAAAAAATTTCTCTCATTAAACCTGAACATGAATTCTGTCACATTATAAAAATGTCTCATTTTACATCTACTAATATTAAGGAAAATTTCTTACAACATCTTAGTAAGGTCTATTCTCCTCACCTTATTTTCTAGTTATTTCATAAAAATTAAGTTCTAATAGAAGTTCAAGAAACATAAGTTCATAACTTTAGTCAATGAAATATTAAGTTCAGGAAAAATAAACTTAAATATGATTTTAAAATGTTAAGTTTTAGGAATATAATTCAAACAAGTGAACATCATGTCTATAAAGCAAACCCCAAGAATCAACCAAAGGAGAGGGGCAATATAAGTAATTTCATTATGATTCAATAATTATTAGCTTGAAGAAGATGGTATTGAATTAAGCTAAGCTCTCTTCAGTCTTCAGTCTTCAGTCTGTACAACACCTTGTTTCGGGAATCTATAACTTATTTACAGATCATAAAGAATCAAAGAAGAGAGAATTTATTTTTTACTCATATTTTACTGCCTCTAAGTGAGAAGTACACATTCTTCCATCCATCGAACCTCTTATAAATCTTCGTAATAACCGGTTCGCCCCTAAAGGCATACCTAAATAACACTTGACAATGCTGCTAAACTCTCCTGAACAATATGTTACAATGTAGAACCTAAACAAATACTCAAATACAACTTGAGTTACAATTCTATGTACCACTAATCCACTATTCCTTTGAATCTTTGATTGACATGCATAAAAAAAACTTATCTACAAAATGTAGTAGAAATAAGAAATTTGGCCGAATCACAACTCCAAGGAATTTTATCCGGTAGATATTTAACTCATGAACAAATGGACTGCTCCCTTTGTACCCAAAAAATAGTTTTATTTCTCCCAAAAACCTCATTCCTAAATAAAAGTCTCATTTCACCTTTGTCTATTTATTTTACTTTTAATCTGCCAAATTCCACAATCTTATTCTTCTATTCACCAATAACCAACCAAACTCCAATATCTTAGGGTTCGTTTGGCATCACTGTGGTTTTCTGTTTTTTGGTTTTTTGTTTTTCAACACCATATGATATATGACATATCATGAATCAAAAATTAGTCTAACTTATTAAAATCCTGATAATTTTGAAAACTGACAACAGAAAAGTGGAGACACTTTTTTCTTGTTTCCTGTTTTTGGTTTTCAGAAAAACAGAAAACTAAAATCAAAAAACGATGTCAAACAAGCCTTTAGTTTTTATATTCACCTCTAAACAATTAAACCACAATATCTTTCTTTTTTTTCCATGTTCCTACAAACTTGTGCAAAAAGCAAAAGAAACTTTTATGCGGAAATGAAGGGAGTGGATGAGATAATACCTTTAAAAGAACCAACTTGACATTAGGATCCTCCTCATATGCCAAAAAAAGTTCCAACATCCGAGAAATCTGCATAGAACAAATATAAATGTGAAATGGAGATCAAGCCTCTTATAACAATTTCCTTTAAGTGCAAAGGATTGGATTACACAATTACTAGACTTCATGTTGTTTTTACTTCCTTCATTTTCCAAAACCAACAAAGATAATAAATTTGGTATGAACTCCCTCTTCTTTTTTTTAAGTGCAACCAAAGCTTTAGGAGCTGACGTTGAATTAGTAAGCAAGGTTTGTTGGGGAATAAAAAAATTATAGAAAAGAGAAAGTAGGTGAATAATTTATTTAGAAATATATGATGCGAGAGAAAAGAAATTATAAAAAATAAATAGGTAAAAGCACAGACTATGGGTATAGAGAAAAATTCCATTTTCTTTTAAATGCAACACATTTTTTTGGCACACACTTTGAGGAAGCGATTACGTAATGTAAACAAACAAATTAATCAATATAATGTATACATATAGTACCTAACCCTTCTCTAATCTTGGTGTTGAATTATTTTGATAAAGTAGCTCGTTTACCTACTCTAATTAGTCCTAAACAAAGCATGCAAAAAATGTGTTGCATATAAAGAAAACAGAGAAAGTATATGATTAAAAAGCGTAGAATATTTCTAGTTTTATTATTGTTTCACTTCAAAACAAAAAAAAAAGGAAAGTGTTGCACTCAACACAAACAAAAGGAGTAACAATAAACCCCACAAACTACATTCTAGGCTAACAGGAATGAGCCTACAAGGCTACAATTATGATGTGTAAACAAACTCAACTCATAAGAATAATCCAAACAACAAACCCCTTTTAGAAATTTGGTTCAGTGATAAGATGGAAATCACTTTATAGCTGATGAGGAAATAGTAAATTTGAGAGGGGCTTGAAGTACAATGGAAGGAACAAGTTCTTTCTTAACAAAGAAAAAATATCTTAACAAAACACGGACAAAAGAATTTAAGATATGTCAACCAAATGCAAAATCATATCTAGAAACTAAAACACCAGTTACACTTCCCAAATAGCCCAAGATAGAAGCACCAAAAGTAGTTAGATGAAAACATGTATCCCAAACCTATATCCCAATACTCTACATTGGAATATAATGTCTTTTACGCATTCTCTCTAATACTCTACATTGGAATATAATGTCATTTACGCAATTCTCTCTAATAAACTTTGAAGAACCTAAAGCATAAATTTAAATTATTCTTTACATCAATTTCAAATAAGTGCATCATACAAAGGACACATTCAGTCAATTCAACGGTTACCAAAAAAGTGCAAGCTCATAAAGCTATATAGATAAACTACATTAAGCTAAGAGTTCAATACCCACATGCCACAACAATTGCTTACCATATAGTCAGAGAGTGCATTCAATTGCTTGGGCCGGTTCATTATAAGCGCTTTCACAAATTGCTTGTCCTGAACCAAAATCTGAAAAGAAAGATCAAAGATATATCTGCAGGAAAGATTTTTGGCAAAACGAACTATAGTAGCAACTAAATAATTTCAACATATAAGCTAGAATTCTTTCAAAAAACTTGCAACATAATATGTGTACAGAGTACAGACTGTACACACCCACATTTGCACTAAAATAATCATGCAACTTCATGAAAAAAATAAATAAAATAAATAAAAACATCCTAAAAAACAAAGAAGGAACCCATGCAAAGAACAGCCATATACATGGACATGGTCAGTCACAACTTCATAAGTAATCCCTGGCTCCCTGCTGCATTGGTTTTATTTTGAATAAAAGCTCAAAACCTTAAAAGAAGTCCTAGTCCACCATAAATTATAATTCAGAACTAATTTCAGCACGTACAAATGATGCAGCTGACCTGCCTTTTTCTTTTCACTGTGCACAGAAAATACTATGGGGTATCTCATCATACAACAATCGGCGACAACATCATACAACGAGCCATCAACCGTTACTAAACTCTGACAGAAAATACTGTGGAGTATCTCATTATCAATTGATACTTTCAAGTCAATTTTGTAGTCACTCTTTTGCAAAACAGAAGGGGTCCTTATTACTCATATATGATGAGTATGAAGGCAAATATTTTCAAGCGAGAAGCAAATTTGATTTTTAATACTAATTTTAACGGTTTGAAAAATTTCAAGGGGCTATTAAATTAAGAGTCGACAACTCAAATAACTACGACTCTTAGACAAAACCCAAGGCATACTCAAAGCACAACTCAACCATATTATGCATCCAATTGATTCTAATGTAATACAACTAATTGAGTCAATTATGCATTTAAAGATGTATGTAATCATGCATTTAAAGATATAATTAATCTAATTAATTGAATTAATCCTCTCATTATAAAACAAATCATTTGCACCAAAATCAAATACAACTATGATCACCAAATCACCAATACCCAATAAAATTAGTAGAAATTAAACATTTATAGCATATACAAATTCTAGGTTTCTCTAGTTATAAATGAATTTCCCTTTAAAATATATACGTCGTATATCACCCATAATCGTCTCGAACACTCATGTCAATTAATTTACACAAATTCATTAGTCAATTAAACAAGCAGCAACCCATGAAATATCATATACTCACAAATTTAAAAAAACATTTAAACAAGTAGCAACTACTGAAATTAAACTCAATACCTGATCAGACTCGGAACTTTGAGCATTACCCGACGCCATAATTAATTTTGCAATGCTTGCTAAAAATCTGGAAAAAAAATTACTAATTACACACTCTCAGTTCAGAAAGTATCTAAAGATTTACTAGTTAAAAAATAGATGATACAAATTTGATCGAAAGAGAAATGTAGGTAAGGTTGTTACCGTTAAAGGCGGTTGAATTTTGGTGTGCAATTTAGCTGGAAAAATTGGGAGTTTTCTTGGTTTTCCTATTTGAGAAGATGCTAATCATGCTATTGTTGGTAATGTGAATTTGTGATGCTAGTTCCCCAAACGCAAGTGTAACAAAAAAAGGGCCCACATAAACAATACATATGGCACTAGACGTGTTAAAAATTGACCCAACGACTTGATTTGACCTGATCCGTTCTAATTGAACCCGACCCAAGTCCTCAAATTGACGCCTCTTTATATCTACGGATCATTGTCATACGAATTTATGCCTACACTGATTTTATTAATTTTATGAACTTTGAATCAATCAATTCACCAAAAAAAATCATCAGCTTAATTGAAGCCTAATTGAATTAGTGTAGCCATATAAATAGACTAACACAAGAATCGTAAAAAAAAATTAATCCAAAATTTCCTTTAGTGTTGTTGTGGTAGCGGGACGAGGAGGCAAACAATGGTTGTCGTGGCTAAAATTGTTAAATTGAAGTTAGGTCAGAGCGAGGTGATTGCAGATCTGAGAATTGAGGAAGAAAGAGAAAAAGATAAAGAGTGGAGCTAAAAAAAAACATTATTGGAGCTTGATGCTTAATTTATCGAGGAATACATTTGTGAATTTGGAAATTTGGCTTTAAAAACGTGGAGATTTATCTTTTAAAATACTCCACTATATTATACGTACAACAACTTTACTATGGAGTACAATTTGTAAATTTGGCTTTACAAAGGTGGAGATTTATGGGAAATTACTAGTTTATCTTCATGATCAACATAATTTGTCAATTCAATCATAAGGGTGATAATGTCATTTTATTCAATAAGTCAAGGATAGTAATGTCATTGGACATGTATTGACATGTTCATATTGCCAACTATGCAATATTGTGTTAATTAACGTTTGAGGGCGTTGACAACAAAGCCCCAAATCCCAGAAACACTCCTCTCTCTCAAAGTCTCAACAATGGCAGGTGTGTAGTAACTCCGACAATGGAGGGTGTAGCGGTGACAATGCTGGGTGACAACTAGCTACGACTCTGGCAACGGGTGGTAGTGGTGTCCATACTTAAATCAATCTCTCTCGTCAGCCAACGTTGACAATAATTATGTATAAGATCTCCTTGACAATGCTCCCCAAGTCCCCAGGTTATTAATTTCAAGGTGAAATGGTCACCCTTACCCTTTGAGGTTGACCAAGCCCTTAATTTCACCTTTTATTCCCAAGGTTTTCATTTAATTCGACAGGTGGTGTCGATGGTGTTTGTGGACGGTTTAATGGATCAAGCTTGGACATGATGAAGATGGTGGTGTGGTAGCTTCAATGGAGGAAGCAGCTTGGAGCCTTGTACACTATTGTTAATGTTGATAAATGGAGTTAGGATCTAGGCTCCTGTTTGGTGATTAAGCGCCTGACGAAGCATAAGTATGAGCTGGATAGTATGAGTAAGCACTAGATTGACAAAATATGTTGATCATGAAGATCAACTTGGGCAAGCCCGAGATATATCTTTAAAAAAGGTGGAGTAAATATGTATATATTTGACATTAATTATGGAATATCCAATGTATTACAACTGTTCATATCCCGGCCCCTTTCCCCACAGGAAATCCAGCCCCCACTCGAAACCCCCTCCCCACCCTTCTCCGGCCTCGAAAACCGCCCGAATCCTTCCTTCCCCGTCCACGAATAATCAAAAGTTGGAAGTATTTAATGAAAATCGTTCACAATTGGGATTATTAAAACCAATTACTCCTTATTAAAATTATTTGGGGAGAATGTTGTATATAATCTCAACTTTGACCAATTTACTTTAAATAATCACAAATTTGAATTATTCTAGAATAATCCTAACATTAAAGCATGTGTTTTACATCTTCAGAAGTGGACACATGTCAACACGTGATTGGTCCAAAAAATAAAAATAAAATAAAGTGAAAATTTTAACCTACCCACTTTCCCAGTCCTACCGCCAGCAATCACCCTCTCCCCAGCCCCACCCCCGAAACCACTCCCCTTCCCTACCTCACCACTAGAAACGATCCCCTCTTTCAACCCCCACCCCCAAAATTGACCCCCTCCCTTCACCCCCAAAACCACCCATAACAAAATCCATGCCCCTCCTCCCCCCATCCCCAAAACCACCCAAACCCCCGCCCATCCCCCTCCCTCCCCAAAACCACCCAAACCCCTCGCTCTCGAAACCACCCCCTCCTTCCTCCACCCCCAAAACCCAACCCCCGCCTCCGTAACTACTTGAAAACCCCACTCGAGGTGGGGCTAGGCAGGGGTGATTTTGGGGGGGACTGCTGGCAGCGGGGTTGGGTGGTGATTTTAATTTATTTTTTTTCATTTTTTTTGGACCAATCACGCGACTGTCAAAAGAAAATGCAGATGAAAGTAGGAATAATTATAGAATAAACTACATTTGAGATTATTAAGTACTCGTAAACTGGTTAGAGTTGATATTCATATTACTAAATATTAAATTGATTTTTTTTCTATATAATTCAAAAAAAAAAAAAAAAGATTATTTCCTGATAGATATTATAGTTATGATAATATTTGTGGCAGATTAGGATAATATTTGTATATATTCTGTATCCTTATCGTACTAGGATTACGAGTCTTGTAAAACCATACTTGTGCCTACAATGTGTTAGATCACCATTGATTCTAATGTAACTCGTCCCGCAGACGTCTCAGACTCTTTGTGGAAGCGTTTAGATGCTCTTGTCAAACAGTGGATATACGACAACATTTTCCACCGACCTTCTTCAAACTATTTGTCACGAAAGTCGACCGCTCATGAAACCTGGAATTGCATCAAGGAAATATTTCAAGATAATAAAAATTCACAGGCTGTTTATCTTGAAACGCAATTTAACATGTTGCATCTTAACAATTTTCCCAATGTTACAGCTTATTGTCAACGATTGAAGAGTCTATCTGATCAACTTGCCAATATCGATCACCCCGTATTGAAAAACAAACTTGTGATTCTTCTTGTTGTCGGGCTAGTTAATACGGACTTTGACATAGTGGCTACGTTGATTCAGCAAACATACCCAATGCCCCCTTTTACCGCCGCGAGATCTCGTCTTCTCCTTAAGGAAACACGACGATCCAATGATCAAGGCTCCTCGTCACACTCCTCATTCATGGCTCACCAAGACTCGACCACAACTTCTGGTCAAAACCAGTCGCAACAGCAACCCTTGTAGGGTGGTCGAAGCTCCGGAAATGGTCGTGGCGCCGCACGTGGGGGTCGCAACGCTGGCCGGGGTTGAGGCCGTTGACGCGGTAATAACAATAATAAGCAGCAGGGTTCTAATCCCCAACAGCAGCAGGCCGCAACTCAACAGCCACAATGGGCCCAATCGCAGAGCTGGCCCCAGTCCTTAGGGGGCCCAGTGGCCTACTCAACAATGGTTCCCTAGAAACTGGGCCCCAGCCCCTTGTCCTTTCCCTATAGTTCAAGGTCCAATTGGTTAACCAATGAGGCAACCCAACTTAGCCACCTCTACACCCCGCGGCCTAGTACAAGCAGCTTACAATGTAGGTCTGGCTTATTATGGGCAGCTATACACTCCCACCGAGCTAGGGTCAGCTTTCTCCACTATGAACATTGGCTCAAACGAACAATGGATAGTATATGGACTCGAGTGCAACATCTCACATGACTCATAACTCAGGCACTCTCATGCTCCTATTTAATTTGAGCACTAATAACAATATTCTAGTAGGCAATGGTCATCGCATTCCAATTACTGGTTATGGTCACACCTCTTTCCCGAATAACAAATTAGCTCTTCGTGATGTTTTATTAGCCCCACAAATCATTAAAAACTTAATATCGGTTCGCAAATTTACTTCTGATAATTCAGTTTCTATTGAGTTTAATTAACCCATATGGTTTTTTTGTGAAGGACCTTTAAACGGGGAAGATAATAACGAGATGTAATAGTTCGGGAGCTCTTTACCCGGTCACAACCAACACCAACCCATCAACATGCCTTGCCTCCACTCTCATGGCCACTTCTCCAACCACTTGGTATAACCGTTTGGGACACCCCGGGCTTTCTTCTTTAAAGTTTCTTATGAGCAATAATTTTATTGAGTGTAATAAGGAGCATGGCTCCACTTTTTGCAACTCTTGTCAATTAGGAAAACATGTTAGACAACCCTTTTATGATTCTACTAGACATACTACTTGTGCTTTTGATATTATTCATGTGGATTTGTGGACATCTCTGATTCATAGTGTTAATGGTCATAAATATTATTTAGTTCTTATTGATGATTTTACTCACTTTGTTTGGACCATACCTATCTCCTTTAAATCTCAAGCTTTTCCTTCATTGGTAAACTTTCAAGTATGTACAAACACAATTTGAGAGACCCATTAAAGCCTTTCAAAGCGACCATGACCGTGAATTTGACAATAACCCTTTCAAAAACCAATGCTTAGATAATGGAATGGTTTTACGATTCTCTTGCCCCCACACATCCTCTTAAAATGGAAAATCCGAACGCATGATCCGCACCATCAATAATATCAAACGCACTCTCCTATTTCACGCCTCTCACCCAATTTTTGGGTTTATGCTCTTGAGACCACTACGTATTTATTAAACATTTTACCAACCAAAACCCTCAAGAATATAACCCCAGCTCATACCTTGTTTCACAAACAACCTCTATATGATCATCTTCGAGTATTTGGGTGTCTATGTTTTCCTAATCTTTCCTCTACTGCTCCTAATAAACTAGCTCCTCATTCCACACCATGTGTCTTTTTGGGCTACCTACCAAACCATCGTGGCTATAAATATCTTGATTTATCCTCAAACAAAATTATTTTGTCCTGACATGTCACTTTTGATGAACAAACTTTTCCATATATGAATTTGGGAAATTATAAGTTAAAAGATTACAAATTTTTGGGTTTTGATGAAAACTCTCCGTTACTTACTCTTGTCCTTATGAGGAATAAATTGTCCAGCCATCACTTAGCCCACTCAGCAAGCCCAAAACCCACAAGATACATTTCCCCACACTAAAGAACCCCTGCCAATAGCCCACTTCACAAGGCCCAACTCTCACCCTCCCCTACCAATAGCCCAGCGGAC